TTTCAAGAGAATCAAATTTGACTTAAATTGTTTATTATTTATTAGTATATACGTTAATATGGACGTTGTTTTAGAACTACAAGAATGGATTGATTTACATTTTGACATACATGGAAGTTAAAAATAACCAAATGTTATTTAACTCAAGAAACTGGGTTACCATTGCTCCTTTGATATTTAACAGCGTATTTTAACATGTATAGATTTTTAGTACTGGCAAAATATCTGAACCGACCATTGACTAAAGTTTTCTCGATCGTGATCGGTATAATCGAGCAGTTCGTAGATTTTGAGCGATGCAGAACCTGACTGAATTTTCACCGCTACAAGAAAGCTTAAAACTTTCAAGTAAGAGTTTAATGCCTATTACGGTCGAAGCTTAGATGCTTTTAAATAATTTCTATGTGAATTTATATAGTTCAAAAAATCATTTCGGTGCGCAGTTCAAATAACTGTAACATATTTAGCATATAATTTCACAGAAATTACTTAAAAGCATTTAAGATCCAGCTTCGACCATAATAGGCATTAAACTTTTACTAGTTGTGTATTCACATATACCTTAATAAATCCTTTATTATTGTTTAAAACTTTCGGTCCTCCGACGTTATCGTTAACGCGTCTCAACACCCGCTATTTCTCACCAAACTGAAAATCGTTGAATTCCACGCTGCCTCTTGATGTACGAGTATTTCTGCCGACTGGTGGAAAGTCATTGTGCCGTCGGACGCTTAATTACGCGGGTGTCGTGTCCTATTCGTGAACGCTCGTCAACCCCACCTCCGCAACCACGATCACCAACTCCTATGACGCTATCGTTGCATCGGCAATTTTCTTTTTATCGTAAGATTAAGAAGCAAGATCTCACCGACGTAAGTGTGTTGGACACGGAGGAGACGATGCAGAAGAAAGAGGCACAGAACGAACTATTAGCGGTCGCATCATGCACACATGGCTTGCGCAGAAACGTGGTTTGATGATGTATTTCTCCGCAGTCTCTTGCTATTTGTCACGTGGAGAAAATAAATCGTCCCACGTGATAATTTCCGGGGAAAGAATGATCGATGCGACAAAATACGATGGCTTAGGATAAAATGGGAAGTGACATGTGCAATTATATGTTCGTTAATCTATATCAAAAAAAGAATCTTATAATAGCTACTAATGAGTGAAATAATTCCAATCAAATGTTTAAACAAAAGATAAATTGTACTTTACTAAATATTTGGAAGGTCACCGATACTGACATAGGTTTCCTAAAGCGACATCCCTTTATTTCTTAGAAACTAACCTTTGCACCTTATTAATACTAATAAAAACGTGATCTGTATAGCTAATTAAAGAAGTACAAACTCATAATTCATATATTTGTGGCTTATTTCTGTAAATCAACTAAAAACGAATTCTATGAATCCGAGAAGAAAATTCTTATGGTATTTTTTTGCAAATTGCGTAATTAAAATAATAGTAACTGTATTATTGATAATATTATGTCATTTTAAATGTTTATAGTATAAATTAGTTTTCTTTACAGAATAGGATATATCTTTATTTATAGAATAGGAATGTTGGCATTATTGCCTGCTATGTCAGTTTTGGAGCCCATTTTGTCAGACGCTCATTTTTGCATAACTTACGAAAAACTTAATTATTACAAACTTGCAAATAGTATTATAAAAAAAAAACTGCTTATACTATCTGATAGAAGACATTTTTTTAGTTTGTATTTAGGTTCTTGAAGTTGTATTTTTACCTTTTGTTTAAGAAATATTGTCTAAAAACAAAGTGTTATGTCGGTATCGGTGACCTTCCTCTATTACCAAACGATTGGTTATATTATTATGCATAATACTTATCGAATATTTAGAAAAGTAAAATTATTTTTTATTGTATTAACTGAACATTTGATTGGAATTATTTCACTCAACATTTGGTAGCTATTATCAAACTTTTTTCAATGTACCGTGCTCTTCTTTTTAAACAAATAAAAAATTATTTTACCCGATATATAAAAAAAGAGCAATTTTTTTTCATGCTGGCTCTATCAGTAAGTCAATTATGAAAGTCAATAAGTTCGTATAACAAATCAAACTAACAAAGACTCCTTATAAATCAAAAGAACTAGGAAAGAACATGGGCAATAGGAGTCAAACGCGGAAGACGTTGCGCAAATAATACGACTATGAAGCGTAAAACTTCTTTATTTTTAATAAACGCGCTAATTATAAATAAAGCGTTAATTTGCAAAGCTAATTATAAATATTGCCCATGTTCTTTCCTAGTTCTTTTGAAAGTCAATAAATTGCATGAAAACTCGTTTACTCCGCTCTAATATCGTTGAGAAATCATATCCTTCTCTCGATGCTGGATAGAAGCGCATATTGAGCCGTCGTAAGTGATAGCGATCAATCGATAGCGCGACCATCTTTTCACTAGAGACGCGAACGCGTATCTCACTTCTTATCTTTTTCTATGTGATAGATACGTTAATTAGGCTGGGTTGCGAGAAAAGAGATTGAAACCAGAAAAGTAGGGGCGATTGGTGCGTCACAGTTCCCGTCTCTAACCTAATTCGACTCTCCCCCGCAGTAGCACCGTAATAGGGCGGAATTAACTGGAATGAACGACCACACAGTACTCCTGAACTGCTGTCTTTCTTATTTTAACATCATTAATGGCGAAACTATCCACGGTATCTTCCCGTACTTATGCTTTATCAACGCAAAAAATTTTAACTTTCCTCATAATAATGAAAAATTCATTTATCGCGCTGTCCATTAAAATTGCGGGTTCTCACGAGGAAATATGTCCGAGAGAAGAATTTACATTTTACATGCGACATTTACGTGACGCGGGAAGAAGAAAGATTCATGCCAGTAGGTGGATATAAATTGATACGATCTCTGTATTTTCGCGTGTTATGTATAACGAACAAGGGTGACTTTCTGTTGCCATCGATGTTTTCGTATGCCTGCCGATGGATGTCCGCTTTGGTCTTTAATGGTCTATTGATTTCCAAAGGCAAAATGCAACCTACCCCTAATAATAGCCGATTATATCTTAGCGTCGCGTCCGACCAATTGAGATCACGAGCCGGTATTGGAATAATCTTCTGCAATTTCCACTCTCTGCTATTTACGTATCGACTATAAAAATATCGTATCGCTGTTATTTTCCATGCCACAAACGAGGACAGAATGACTAGGATTACAATATCTCATTTATAATAATGCCTATTGCTGTGTCAGCGATATTCACTGCGAAATTGATGCTATGCAGATGTATATGTATAACATAATGCATTCAAGAGAAAATCAGTTCATCAAGCCAACTGATATACAGGGTGTTCAGCGTAACGATCTGTACGATTTTTCCGATAGTTAAAAAAAAGATTGAAGGGTAAGTATTTATCTGTTTTATATAGGCTACAACATGCGATAAAAAAATTTAAAAATTTAAGATGGCTTTGATTTTTCTATGAAAACTTTTTTTTTTAATTCTTTTATCGTATGTTGTAGCCTGTATAAAACAGATGAATATTCACGTTTTAACTTTTTTAACTGTGGAAGTATCTGAGAAACCCCGCGAACCGCTACGCTGAACATCCTGTATAGCAAAAGCAAAGTTTAAGTGACGTAATTTGGCAATGAGAGATTATCTATTTCAATGTTTTCTTCGCATCATTGAAATTTGGCCGCAATTTCTTTTCCGCGCAGATCGTAATTCTCTTCGAATTTTGCGGAACAAACAGATCTATCCGAGACAGGGCGCCGCCGCAGGATTTGTATCTTGTTTTCGAGAAAATACTTTTTCACCGCCAGACATAGTGCAATTCCAGTGTTTTCCTCGTCGCTGCTGATATCGGCAGCGTGGCACATGAAGCGTGTTTGCGAAGTAAAGTTACTTGCGTTAAATCATCGTCGAAAGTGCGGATAAGTTGGTCGCTCGTTTTTCTTGCGAGTTTAAATTATGCCTTCGTCAACTTGTTAAAGATATTTTACAACTAAGCGATTGCGAAACTTGGGAATAATTTACAAACTAATCGTCCGCCAACCACAACTTTTTCGATCGAGAAAGTCACGTCACGATACATAACAGTTCGACGTATCAACCTGTGATTGGGGAAAAGTTTTTATTTTTAGAAGGAAAAGATCGCGCAGGAACTCAAATTGATACGGGCAAAAGCCCCTCGGGCGTGATTCGTTTGAATTACGATGGTTACAAAGCTTTTAAGCCGCTAAACCATCGATGCTCGAAACTATGTTTTGTTTTACAGTCACGTGCTATGTAAGACAACAAAAAATGTATATAGGTATATCGAACTGTGCAGCCGTAGCTGCAGTTTTACTCCCCGTCTATTGATTTTGGTCAAGATTTTCTTAGATTTGCCGCACTCGATCCAATTTGCACTCGATTTTTCGTCCGACTACTCGCCACGTAAAATGGAAAAGTGCAGAAAAGTCGAGAGGATTGAATATGGCTTTTCCTTCTTTCAGTAGTCTTCGTACCGGTAGTGCATAAGCTGCACGTGCACGTCCGTAAGATACGTCATCTCCGCAATGGTGCAATATCGCATCCGCTCATAGACATAATTCCGTACGCCGTGCAAAGAATACGGCTTTGACGATAACATAAATTATGCGGCGGCTCATATTTATGTAACAATTGCACCTGCTCTCGGGGGTTACGCACTGGCCGGAATACAGAGAGGGAGATCGTTTCGAGTGAATTATATTTTCCGTACCGCCCGGTAACGTACCGCTGAAGGTACCGTGACTAATGGTCCGTATTAATTAATTCATTATTTCGTGCACGAACGCTGAAGGTACCGCGGCGTATCCGCGACTGGGTGGAGATACCCGGATGTCGCCGTGACGATTTTAACTTTCAGTAACGAGAGTTTATGACCGGTAGCGCGGTAACCGTAGTACTTTACCGGCTTATCAGGCCTGGAAAAAAGTGGCTCTGTGCTTTTAAAGGATGGCGTTTTCCGATTTTAGGAAACTACCGGACAGTGGGTCAGTCTCGGCCTGGAACTGGAGCAGAGGGGCAACGACATCATCGGCACGAAGAAACCGACGGGCCACTCGCTTCTGATCGACTGCCGGCTGGAGCTGCCATATGGTAAGTGACGACACGATCCCGCTAGATTACGGTAGATGAAAATCGCATGGCTGACGTATGTAATCGTACATATACGAGATATGGGAATACGTTTGACGTATATCGGTGTCACACATCATATCGAGCGAACAGAAGATCCGACCTGCGACAGTTGCCGGCGAGAATATTAATGCAAATTCTGACGTTGTAATTTGTCAGCTTCGACGCCACGATCGATTCGCGCCGTCGCATCTCCGATCTACCGTTCGCCAATTCGCTCCTGATCGTCCCTTCGAACGCCAGCATGACTGCGTTCTGATCGCGCCATGATTTCTGTACTCAAGATTAAAAGAAATTCTGCCATAAAAAATGCGATAGTTCGCTCTTTACCGCGTGGTATTCACTGAGCGTGTTGCGATTGCCAAAAGTCTGCTCGCGGAACAAAGAAAAGGAAGCTCGAAGCACGAATTCTTTTCCAATTTTAACCAACGAATTCTGAATGTAATCTAAGATAAATCTGAGTATTCCATGAAAGAGGTAGACAGAGATCGGAAAGAATCTGGATTAAAGCTAAGGAATATTCGAGAGGCTATAAGAGCACGAAGTGAAATTTCAAACAGGAGTAGAAACGCAGCGATAATAAAATACGAAATTACACTAAACGGTTCCTTCCGTGTCACTCGACAAGATCGCAACGTCGAATTCGCGATGGTGAGAGAAAAAAAAGACACGAAGCCATCATCAACGAGAGCTTCTCGTTGAGCGAACGACAGGACGAAGTTTTAATTGAGTGCCTGCGAACTTGTCGAATTTGCTGTTGGCTCGGCGCCCGCACGTACATTCCGACTTCGTCGTCGTGCTTTACGCAGTTATGTGTCCTGCGAATTGTTTCGATGCTGCAATTCCATACAATAAAAGGTAACCGAGAAACGGCACGTGGAACTCTCGAAGATACGGAGGGATTTCCGAGCAAATGAAACCAGACTGCGAAGTTACCCTCTCGAAACTCTAAGTGTTTCTATTCATTCTACGCGAACGGAATCTAAAATCATTAGCCTGACCGTGTTTTTTAATCTGAAATCTGAATTAAGAATTCTTGTGGGGCTCACGCAACGAAAAAAAGAGGCAACACGAAGGAAGTAATTAACTTGAAGTAAGTCTTATTTTGTGTTTTGATGTATATTTTCTTTCCTTTATAGACTGGTTAACTTGGTGGTTAAGCTTAACCTGATTAATTATTGATTTAATTTGAAATTATCATTACAAAACCATTAGTTTAATGATTAATCGTAGCCAGAAAATCACAATTTTTATATTATCATTAAGTTAAGTAAGATTAATGCCTAAATTCTAAGCAGAATCGTAAAGCTCGTAACATATTCCTGTAAGACTTGTATAAGAATTTTAAGTGCTTATACCTTTATACAATATTTTTACAGATAGCTTCTTACTAGCTTTTATAAATAAAATTTATTAAAAAATTGTAGATATTTACGTAGAATAATCTACGATACATACGCATAAAATTAGAATACTAGTCATAAGTTCTTATATACAAGTTTTACGAAAACACGTTACGAGTCTTACGATTCTGCTTAGAATTGATCCATAAGTTTAAACAACGAGTTAACCAGATAATGAAAAATCGGACCATAATGTATTGCATATCAATAAAATTATTATTATTAAATTCGACGACAATGGCTGAGGTAGCGAGTAAAAATCACATTAGCGATTGCGCGATTGTGGTTGGCGATTGAAGATTACTTTTCAACCAGTTGGAGCAAAGCAATCAGTGACTGCTTTGTTTTTATTGGTTGAAAAGTAATCGCCAATTGCTAATCACAATCACGCAATTGTCAGCGTGATTACAGCTTAACGCGACTACTTTTGATATCATAAGCGCGAGAATTTCTTTCAAATTTTTTTCAAATTTACGCTTTTGATGATCCCTTTCTCGCAATCTTCCCCTCGATTCGTTGCTTGCCTCGGCGAGCACTGTCACGGTTTCATACCCGACGAAGTCCCTTCGGATATCGATGCGGCGACCTGCAATTTACGGAGTTTTCGACGAACTCGTGGCAGCAACAAGTACAACTTTTTCGGGTTTGGCATACATACGCGTATCAGATATATGCGGAACCTTCCATTAATCCCGTTGTTTCCGCGGGACCACGTGGGTCTATGCAATTACCGTGCCTTTAACCAAGATTGACGTGCTTTCACCTAGTGCCCGGTCGTCGACATGCCGCGCGATCAATACGCTATCGACCTTTCGCTACGGAAAGGTCCACGAAAAGGGGGCTAATCGTACGTTACGATTTGCTGGAGAACGTTTTCGAATCCGTACGAATTTACGAGTGCACGAAAGCACTTGACATTTTTATAATACGATTTACAGATAAAGCCGGGGACGATAGTACGCGCGATAGGCGTGCGGCTTAATCCGTATGCAAATTTCCAAGAATTTATTTCCAGCGGTCGAAACGGGTTCTCACGTAATAATATCTCGATTTGAAATCTGACATCGTCGTGAGTGCGCGAGTCTTTTCTTAACGCCGTGCCGGCCGAAGCTCGGTCCGCGTACGAACGTTCCGCGTTCCATTAAACGCGCATGTTATTTTGCGTCACGCGATTTGACCGTGTTGCGAATTAAGAGAAAACGAGGCCGCTATAATAATCTCTTTCCTTTATACGTGTTGACGTTTCGCTGCGAACGGATTCGCCAGAACCTCTCACGCCATTTCTTTTTCCGCTTTGCATTTTTCCGCCGCCGCCGGCCGTCACCGCTTCCGGTTTTCGATCCGCGCCAACTACGCATCGTTTAATGGATTTTGTACCGCGCCACGGTACATTTCTCGTTCTGTGGAAAAAAATACTTTTTCTTATTGACTTTCTCTCTGAGAGCGCGTAAAGAAAGAGAAACGTTCTTTTTATCTTGTCATGTAGAACGAGAAGCTGCTTAAAGAAAAATTAAGAAGATTTGCGCAAAGAGAGATACAAAGTGGAAATCGTAATTAAAGTTTATTTGAGGAAAAGGTTGCCCTTTATGGAAGCGTGTACAGTAGGCGGTAAGGGAATTTCGAATTCAGAGAATATAATTTAGCTTACTTAGAATATCGAAAGTTGATAATATAATTTATTCGGAAATTGCAGATAATTAGTCACTAACAGCATTAATGCTGTACTTACGTCACTGCATGAAACTTTTGGCCTAATTTCCCTTTACTTTTCTCTATTTCTATTTCGATCTGTGGAATTGGTATACACATATAATAAATATATAAGTATCAAATAAACGTAATTTTACTTGTTTTTAAGCTTTTATTGAAAGAAAATTGCCATATCTGTTGCTATAATTTGATGAGAGAAAGGACGAAAGAAAAATATTAGTCTTGTGCACTGTTAAAACACCTTTTCGCGCGCGGCAAGTCTTTTCGATGACTTTTTCTTCTCATTGATTACTTTACGATACTGCTGTCGAGTATATGAGGTGCTTTAGGTTCTCTGTGCTTTTTCCTTTATTAATGAATCCTTTGATCAATTTACAGTTAACATTTTATCAGTACAATAAAAGATTATTTTTTTATTTAATTGGAAGTAGAACTTTAAAAAATTTCATTTTAGAATTAATTATTATATAATTAATTATAATAATATCCGATATTGTGAATATCAAAATGTGATAAAGGTGCTCGAGATTTCTACAAGTGTAAATTGATGAAGAAAATTAACGGATGAAAGAAAGTATTGGGAAAGTACTAGAGTACTTTGCGTAATAACTGCCAAGTACAACTTTCAAGAAATCGTTGGAAGAAATTTCGAAGTGTACTACCGTACATTATTTCGCTTACCTTTTATAAGCGGCCGAAGATTGTAGACCACAAGATTATGAAACTTACTTTTGGAAATTGCAATCGCGCGAGATATCACGCGTTGAAGAACATAAAACGATGGACATGAATCACCACTCGAATCATGCACATCCACAACCTTCCGTCTGATCAGTGTCTGACCAATCAGGAAAGCGCGTACAACGAACTGGATGGAAAGCCCTGCTAACGAGCAAAACAGCAATGCAGTTGCGAGCAGCCCGGCCCATGTGTGGCTCAGGTACCCTCGTCAAGAGATCCTGATCGTGGGATCGTTCTTGATCGCGAGATCTCTATTTTTGCTTTATCGTTTCGATTCCACCGATCGACCTGCATCCGAGTGCCATGTGATGTACCACTCTCGCCGATCGTGGATTCGCGTCCATCTTCCGCGCATTTCTCTCGCCGTAAAATTTAACGATCCCCTTTTAACGACCTCTCGATTAAAGCAGTTAATTACAATTAGCGCGGGAACTATTATAATTCTTCGAGATGACCGAGATAAGTGATCGTTCAAAGAGAAATTTTCAATATCGAACTTTATTATCTAGAGATCTCTGGATATTTATTACCTAAAAATCTCGAAATCGTTCTTGATACTTTTCTAACATTATAAAGATGCCAATACACATGTAAAAATTCAATTTGTTGTGCCACTATTGCCACTTTTTTCTGTTATTCAGAGATGAAAAGATATCGAATAATTATCTGAAATCTTGATGATCATCGACACGTGTATCCACGATCCGCGACGAAGAATATTTGTTTTATTTGTACGCAATTAGCGTTAACGAACTCTCTTCTTGCTCGTCAGTCACTGCACTAGAAACCTCTGTCCTCGTTCCGAAAATTCCTCGGTTTATTTTTCCTCACGCGTCAGTTTTTAATGCGCGCGAGTTGGTCGGGTAACGACGGGCGTTTGTAATAATTACACGTATCGCGAGATGCACGGTTCTCTCGGGTGCAAGAAATATAGAACTCGCCGTCGTGCTGAAAGACGCGTTTACGAGAGGTCCATTGAATTTTATCTATGCATATCGCGTCCGCCGGATATCTTTTGTTTTCCGCCAGCCAATGCTCCCTTCGTACTTGTTTCATTAACTTAAGTGCAGTTACTTTTTAGCTTTATGTAAACCACGTGCGTGTATC